CTATCTCCGTAAATAATAAACATTGTACTGATCATGCCGAAATCAATAACTTAACCGGATCGGCCGAAAAATCATTCAGTCAATTTTTATCAGGTGTTCCAGGAATTATGAAAGTAGCAGTAAAAAAAATTTAAAATACCCGCCCGGTTATTAAAACATATAAAAAATTTTTTTTGCAAATTTTCAAATTTTGACCCGGCCGGGTTATGAAAACCAATTAATTAATTTTGCATGGCCTAACTACCAAATAAAATTTGATGAATTTTTTTTTTATTTCAATTTTGCAAAGTTAAAGTATTAAAATAAGACAAATCATTATATTTAATTAAGAGGTTATTGAGAAACCTTCGCAAGAAGTTAAAAAAATTTCAAAATTTTAAAAAGGATCGATTTTTATGCGATTGTTATGTATAATAATATATACTTGTAAATAAGACATTAGAGCTACAGTGATATATGGACTTTACTCAAATTTTATATGATGTGAAGAGGTAGCTACCTCCACTTTTCAAATACACATTCAAAGTATACTGTTAAAAGATTTGAATTTAAGAAACGTCAATATAATTGACTGATCACACTTTTATTTTTGATCGAATAGTCTACTGGATGATCACCTAGATTTTGCGGGATGTTAGAATATAAAATATTAATTGATAAATGCCAGTTAAAGATAAAAAAACAAGACGAAACATTGTTAAGTGTGAATAACCTAACAAAACGATGATCTAAAGGCAATTGCCAAATCCGACAGTCTGTATCTAGAACTACTAACATTAGAGATTGGACCCGTTGAGAAAATCTTTACCCGGGTATTATTAAATTACCCGGGTTATCCGGGTAAGTTATTATATATTTCGGGTAATCGTATAGTAACAATTTCTACCCGGGTCCAATTCCTAACTAACATACAGTAGATTATCTTTCGCCAATATAGCCATCCTAAGAAAAAAAAACCAAATAAGTATTATCTAAAAAACAAAAGCTTGATGAAATAACATTGTCAATAGCCAACCTTTTCAAGCAATAGAACAATTTGATGACAAATTTCACTAACACTTTGTTTACTTGGATCAACGACAATATCTGCATCTGTAGGTTTTTCATAGGGATCATCGACGCCTGTAAACCCTTTAATCTCACCAGATTGTGCTTTCTACATAGAAAAGCAAGTATATTCCATGTTACAAATTGAAGAGAACAAGAAATCGACAATTGTTCAAACTACAAAAAAGCAAGTGTAGATGGTATTTGGGCAGGCATACTTTATAAATTCCTTTTCTATCAGTTTTAATACAATATTCTAAAGGAGTATTAACATGAATTAAATAGAAACCACCATAAGCTTCAACTAATGATCTTGCATGATTACGTGCTTCTGCATACGGTGCAATTGGCGCAGCAATGACTGCTGCACCCGCTTTCGTGAGTTCTGAAGATACAAACCCTATACGAGCAATATTTTGGTCTCGGTCTTTTCGAGAAAAGCCCAATTCTGAAAAAAAGACCAAAAAAAAAAAAAACCAATTTAATTATCAAAATTAAAATTTATGTACAACACTGTTTAAAAACCTTTGCTTACCGGATGAAAGTTCATGACGTACGATTTCACCCAACAACAAACTAACTGACCTTCCACCTTGTTCATTAAGTACAACTTGCAAAGCTCGGCCAATAGAATCTTTACCAGAATTATAATATCCCGTTAAGAACAGGGTGAATCCTTGTTTTGACTTCGGCGGAAATGTGTCTCGAAGTACTTTAACCACCTCTGGATATGAAAACCATTCGGGAATATTTGCACCAGCTCTCAGACGTCTTCTTAGCTCAGTGCCCGAGATATTTAATGTTTGTGTACCCTCTGGTACTTCATCAATTGCCATATATTCATCTGAATCAGGAATATAAGTCATCATTTGGAATGGAACAACCTCAATTTTTAGCTCATCCTTATATTTTGCTACAAGTTCCTATGTTATATAATGATGCAGCAATAATTAATTTAATGTTTTACAAAATAATAACTCATAACTAATACGATAATGTATGTCGCATCTGAAGTTGCCACTTATCCGAAGTTGCAACTTTAGATATTGCCTTTTATTTAAAGTTGCTACTTTTGATATCTAAAGTTGCAACGTATCTGAAGTTGATATCTAAAGTTGCCATTTTAGATATTTGAAGTTGCTATTTAGACATCTGAAATTACTATTTTGGATATCTAAAGTTATTGCTTTAGATATCTGAAGTTGCTACTTTAGATATATGGGGTTGAGTCAGTAGGAATCAAGCAAATTTTTTCTAAGTAAATTTTTTTTAAACTTTAAACGACAATAACTTGACAAAAACTTAATCAAATTTAATAAATTTTTTTTAAAAAAATTCTACAAACTTATAAAATTTATTTTAAACAAAATTTATTAAATTTAATCAAGTTTTGGTTAAGTTATTGGTGTATAAAGTTTTAAAAAATTTTAATAAAAACAATTTGCTTGATTTCTATTGACTCACCCCATATGAAGTTATTATTACTTTATACAGTATATTTGAAGTTGACGTTTAAAGGTGTAAAATCGCTACTTTAGATATCTAAATTTGTGAAGTTGCTATTTTAGATATTTAAAAATATTACTTTAGATATCTAAAATTGTTATTTTAGATATCTATGTTGCTACTTTAAATATCTAAAGTTGCTACTTTAGATATTTGAAGTTGTTACTTAAAATATCTGAAGCTGCTATTTTAGATGTCTAAAGTTGCAATTTTAGATATTTAATAAAATTACTACTTTAAATATCTAAAGTTACTACTTTAGATATTTCAAGTTGTTAGTTTAAAAATTTAGAGTTGATATTTTAAATATTTTAAATATTTAAAGTTGCTACTTCAGATATTTAAAATTGCTACTTCAGATATCTAAAGTTGCTACTTCAAATAGAATTTACGAAACAACTTAAATGTTTAAAGTAATAACCTTAAATGTCTAAAGTTGCTATTTTAAATATTTAAAATAGTCATTTTAGACATTTTAAGTAGCAACTTCAAATATTTAAAATAACAATTTTATTTAAAGTTGCAACTTTAGATAGTTGCAACTTCAGATAGGTGGCAACTTCAGATGCGACAAATATAATATTCTTACCTGTGCTGCGTAAGGTTCGTAAAAATCTTTACCATTCGAATTCTTTCCAGGACCAGCATGATCTCTACCAATAATAAAATGTGTAGCACCAAAATTTTTTCTAATAATAGCATGCCAAAGGGCTTCTCTCGGACCGCCCATTCTCATAGCCAATGGCAATAAACTTAATGTTGCCATTCCATTGGGATATTTTGGCATTATTGCTTGATAAACACGCACTCTAGTGTAATGATCGACATCACCAGGTTTAGTCAGGCCAACTACAGGATGAATAAGAACATTCGCTTGTCTAATCCTTGCAGCCCTGACAGTTAACTCACGATGCGCACGATGCATTGGGTTTCGCGTTTGGAACGCGACAATGCGAGACCAATTAAGTTTTTTGAAATGAGCACGAAGTTCAGCAGGCGTATCTATTTATAAATGCATCGATAAACTTAAATATTGACTAATTAAACAATAATATCTACATTTGTACATACTCCGGTGTGCGACATAGTCATAATGTATTGGTGCCTGAATTGCCTCAATATTGCCGCCGATATAATATTCTTTGACTTGATTTTTAAGATAATTCACACCAGGATGTATTTCGTCATTGTCGCCAAAAACATTCATTGCTTCTTCAACTTTATCTGGTTGAAAGATATCTTGGATTGTTAAAATAGCTAATGGCGAATCGTCTCGAAAATCACGCAGTACTAAGCGTCTGCTTGGTGCAAGATCAAGTGTTTTTATATCTTTTTCAGAAACATCAAGTGTGATAGGCATTGACCATAGGCACCCATTTTTTAGCCGAAGGTTACGCACGACACTGATTTAAATAATAAAGCAGAATTTCATTACTCCATTTAAAAAAAATATTCACGGATATACTTGAGTTTCATCCAATCATTCTAGAAAGCAATATCCAGGATTAGAGTTGTTAGAGTTGTTAAGTGGTCTCGAATGTTCTTAAAAGTTTTGATTTCAGAAAGTTTTATAATTCGATAACTTGGTCCGAGACCAGTCTTTCTTAAATTCTAAGATTTAAAATTCTGAAATTCAAAAAAAAATTTTTTTACTTAGGCGAAGAAAAGTAAATTTTCTGGTTTTCATATCCCGTCCGGATCAATTTCTTTCAATTTAAAATTATAAAATTTTTTTATTTAATATATATTAAATATATTAAAACCTACAGAAAGTTATATCTACGTATATACAATAACCAGATAGATATTTCAATAAAATTTTTACATATATAATTTTTTTAAAAAAAAGTCGGGTGGCCGGATCTGTTTAGAATTTTAATGCTATGAAAACCAGAAAAATAACTTTGCATGGCCTTATTGCAATAACTTTTAGTTATTTATTATCCCTTAAACCGTTTCCGAGCAAATTTGCCTATTTCATGATTGATCTACTATCAAATTTTATTGGATTAGTTTAAATCCGTTGATTCTCACTTTCCCGAAGCCCACTTTCCTGAAAAACTATTTACCCGACATCACATATGGTTAGGGTTAGCATTTTGTTAGTTGTAGATATATATTTTTAGCAAATTGTCACCTGCGTGATATCGGGTAGGTGACATGTCGGGGAAATAGCTTTCGGGAAATCGTACCGTAACCGTTTAAATCGTAGTAGATATGTAGTTAAATTGACGATTTAAGGGATAAGCCATAGAAAGTTAAGAATGATCCACTTTTTATTTTAAATATATGTGCACATTCACTTGAAATTTTATAATCAAAATTAATCAAGAATCAAAAAAAATTAACTTTAGATGGCCTACGATTTACATTTAAAAATTTAAGACCATTTAAGACTATTTAACATTTCTATCCTAAATTTAATAACCAACCTTAAATAATCATCTTGGTTCATGAATCCTTCCAAGGGAGAAAATCCCCCATTCATAATAAGTTCCAAATCACATAATTGACGGTCTGTCAATACTATAGAAGGCAAGGATTCTGCTTCGACTCGTAACGATTCGTTCTTGTGAGCATCTCGAGCATGTGCATCTTTAAGAACACCACCATGGGGGACGTTAGCCATTGCAAGACAAAAAAAAATTGTATAAGTAGAGAATTAGTGAAGATCATTTAATAGTCAAATAACGACATTTTTATCCAATAAGAAAATTTTATTACACTTCAGATTAGATTAAGCTCGACATCCAAATTGAGTTATGTGGAGTAGAATCACGTGCCACTCGTGGGATTGGATTAGGGTGTCCAGAATTATGCTATGCGCCATTTTTTCGCTTCGAATAATTAAGCAGAAAAAGCATCCAGATCATGTGACTAAAATATGATTGGTAGATGTATTTTTTGAGTTCCGAGGGTGGACGTACATTTCACCGGTTAAAAAACAACAGGGGAGAACATTCGGGCCGGGCTACCCGGGCCCGGGTTGGCTCGCATTTCTAGACCCCGTAATTAGAAATGGGCCGGGCTTGGGTTAGACCTGCTAAAATATCGGGCCTGGACCGGGCTTTGTATAAAAAGCCTGCAAATCCTAAAAAGCCTGTTAGTTTATATGTTTTTTTTTTTAATTAACATGACTTTGAGAATATTGTAGGTAATTAATATGCCCTTCTGAAGTTGTGCAATTAGTTCCTGAAATTGGTTTATCTTGGATACAATTTTAGGTTGACTTCATGGCTCAGGAACAAATTAAGGTAAATAATATATTGTGTGCTTAAAACGAACTCAATTTTATGTTTCCCGGTTTTTAATATTTATCGGGATATTTACCAGTTTAGATATTTAAATAAGCTATATTAATTTCATTTTATTTGCGATAATTATGTGAAGGTCGAATGTCTACAAATTAAGCCATTCAAGTTCATCAATATTTCTATTTATTATTATTTAATTTTATCCGTAATACTTAAGTACATGAGTATTTCAATAAAGTTATTCCAGCTCTTGAACATTTATTATTAAAATTTCATTATGTTTGAGCTAATTAGGTGCCTTAACATAAAGAATATTTATTAAGCTACTTCGTCTATTTGCCAAAATCTACCATTAATTTACAATAGTTTGTAGGCAAATATAAATATTTGTCAATTTAATGTTTAAAATATATCAGAGGTACAGAAAAATTAATTGCAACCCAATTATTATGCAATTATAATTGATGATAATTGTTGTTACAACTAATTAGTGATAAGAATAATTACAATTAATTGCAATTAATTGTCATTAGCCATATGGGTATTATGAATCATTGTATGTGACAAATAATAATTTTCTAATTAATTACATTAGTTAATTTTTATTTGTCGTGAAAATAATTTATCACACCCAAAATTGCAATTAATTGACTCATTGTGGCTGCGCCACCAATCAATTAATTGTGTTCAAATAATTGCAATTAATTTCTCTTACAATCAATTCTTTAGTAGACCTGAAATATATAATTAAGTGAAATATATGAATGTATAATATGCTTAAAAAAATCAACGAAATTTGTACAAGTAGTACAATAAGGGTTCTATTTTCGTTTGTATATACCAATACTAAAAAAGAACCTACTTTTCAATATATATCAAGATTAATCCATCAAAATTAATATAATCGTGAATTATACCTGTTTTTACCTGATTGTGACTAGATTATGTGCATATATATATAATAAATAAGTTTTTGATTATTAATAATTAAAGTTTAAAATCAAATAAACTAGTATATATAAAAATGCACAAGTATCTTCTAATTAAGTAAAATTATTATTGTTATATATAACTTTAAATAATTTTCTCAAAAATTATTGAACCAGTAATTAGATGCAATTTATTATTTATTAAAATATTCTTTTCATACACTAATATAAATTCAAAATGTCTGTTCTTAACTTTGTGACCTTAATTTTTGTTTCATCATTAGACTAATAAAATAATTTAATCATTCATTTCAAATAAAATATAAGTATGTGAAAATAGTATTTAAATTTAATATATAAGATACAACAAAAAACAACAAAAAAATTAAAAAAATATGAATAAGGATATAATCAATAGTGAAAATTCAAGTAAAAATTTTAAAATAACCTTTTTAGACAAAAGTATTGATTAAACTATTAGCAAGAATGAAAATTTTGAAATAATCTCTACTGTTTCTAGTATCAATAAACAAAAATGCAATGTTTCATTATAGGTTTTTGCAGAGGAGTACTTTATCAAACTGTCAGGTAAAGCATAACTAATACTTTTTATATTAATTTTTCTTTGTAATTACTTATACCAAATATATAATTTGTTAAATAATTGTGCTTTGTATGTATACTGTGACAATATTTTAAAATATAATAGCAATAGCAGAACAAGTTCTTTAATTCACTATTTGAAAAATACAAAGTATAGTCAGTATCTTAATAATGTAAATCAACAAACATAGCTATTTTCTCATAAATTTCTCAGAAAAAAAGCTGTTGAGATTTGGCAAACATGATTGTTATATATACAGGGGTGTATCATATTATTGTGGACACTTTTTAAAAATTTATAATGGTCTAAATAAGCAAGAAATCAAGTTTAAAGTTATATAAAAAATTGCTTAAATTTAAGGCTTTCAAATAAAAAAAAACATAAAATTCTATACAATAGTTGTTAAAATAATTAATATTATACAAAATTGTATAATATTATATAAGGGAGAAAATAGTAATTATACAAATTTGGTTAGATTAATTTTTTATAAAATAATTTAATTTTTTATTAAATATAATAAATTACATATAATTTTAAAATTTTAGAAAGTTTTAAAAAATTTTAAATTAATTATTATTTTTAAAAATAAAAGTTAAATTATTAAATTAAAATTATTAACTTGTCAAAAATATTATTTTTTTATTTTATTTAATAATTAACTAAATAAAATTTTAAAAATTATAAAAAGTTTAAAATTAGATATAATTTATTATACTGAACAAATTTTATATAATAATCAAATTTAGTTTACTTAATAAAAAATTAAGTTTACTATATTATTAAAGTTGAAAATACCATTTATATTAAAATTATATTTAATTTTAAAAAATCTTCTCAATTAAAAAATGTTAATTTTTTAATTTTAATTATCTTAAAAACTACTGCATAAAATTTTATAAACTTTTTTTTATTTAAAAGCCTTAGATTTAAACTATTTTTTATATAATTTTTGGATTTATATCTTGCTTATTTAGCTCAATATAAATTTTTAAAAAGTGTCTACAATAATATAGTACCTCTCTGTAGATACCTATTTTGTAAGATTTAACACTAAAAATTTTTAAAGTTTATTAATAACTTGCAACCACAGTTTAAAATAATAAGTGAAAAAATAATCTGTAAAGATTGCATGAAAGTTGTTGCAAGCCTTAAGATAAAAGCTTATAAGATAATACATGAAGCTTCTAAAAATTTAAATTTTACAACAGATATATAGACATCAAACCAAAATATTGAAAATTTAGTTATTATGTATATATATTTATTAATATTGTATATTTTCTTTTTTTTTAATTGTATTTTTAATTGCTATATTTTTTTTATATCCTTTACAAATTTTTATTTATTTTTTTTTAATGTTAAGATGACCATTTAGAGGTTTGACACATTTTATTAACTTTATGGTTTAAATGGCAGGGTAACTACTATATGAGCACTCCTAACTTTGTTATATTAATGAAAGTATTACTATCTTAATTAACTTAGTATTGTCAGATATTCTCCCCAAAGAAGAATTGTTATCAAAACCCCTTAGGACTTTAAAGAGCAGTCTATATCCTATATATGTATCACCTAACTTTTCAGTAACTTACACCTAGGCCATGATCAAGTACTTGCAGCTTTTTATTTCCACTACTATTACCTACTCTTTGCCATTGCAAAGTTCATCCAAACCCTAGCATCCACTTTATGAACTATTAACAATACTTCAATACCAATCGTCAGTACCCTAAACTTCTAATTCAGATAGCCTGAGAGGAAACAGTAGGCATCTCCTGGTATTCTGAATAAATTCTTTTTCCTCTGGTTATCTGAATTAGAAGT